CAGGGTCCAAAAACACATGGGATTTGCCACATTTCTGAAATTCGGCGCCACCCCTTACGCAGATCCGCGGGGTCAGGGTCCAAAAACAGAGGGGATTTGCTACATTTCTGAAATTTGAACCCGTCACGCACATCCATCGCAAGGCGTGATAACCCAAACTGCGAGAACTCCCTCGGCCCTTTCATCGCAAGGTGTGGTAACCAAGCCCTTGAACCATACACGTCTTGCTAATCGCCAGGTGTGGTAACCCCTCTTGTGATCAGTTGGTTTTGCTGATTGCGACTCGGCTTCGCATGAAGTTTCGATACTGCTTCACGACAGCGCCAAGGCCTCATGACTTAGCTCTTCCATGGCCCATTCTCCGAGAGAGGGGGCCGGCGGCAGGGGGCGAAGCCCTTACGGATTTTATAGCTGTCGTCACTTTTGGGCTCCTGAGGCGTGAGTATGGCGGAAGTCTCAGGCGGGTGCCTCGTCTGTGAGTGAATTGCGAGGGGATCTCAGGCGGGAGCCCCTTCCCTATGGGGCCCGCAGATCATGTTACTAATCCGGGCGGGTCATCGGTATCCTGTAACTGTCATCACCTTTGTTTTTTTTCCCAACCATCCTGTGGTGTTGGGTCCTCGTTTTGAAGAGACGGTCCCCGCGTTCCTCCTCCTTCTCCTCCTCCTCCTCCTCCTCCTCCTCGCCCTCCTCCCTCCAGGGTTCGCATGCCTCCCCACCACCCATTTCGGCACACCCCTCAGACGTTTCGTGGCCCCATAGGGAGCTCAACCGAAGGCCCCAGTGGCAGGGTTCGCATGCCTCCCTACCACCCATTTCGGCACACCCCTCACACGTTTCGTGGCCCCATAGGGAGCTCCACCGAAGGCCCCAGTGGCAGGGTTCGCATGCCTCCCCACCACCCATTTCGGCACACCCCTCACACGTTTCGTGGCCCCATAGGGAGCTCCACCGAAGGCCCCAGTGGCAGGGTTCGCATGCCTCCCCACCACCCATTTCGGCACACCCCTCACACGTTTCGTGGCCCCATAGGGAGCTCCACCGAAGGCCCCAGTGGCAGGGTTCGCATGCCTCCCCACCACCCATTTCGGCACACCCCTCACACGTTTCGTGGCCCCATAGGGAGCTCCACCGAAGGCCCCAGTGGCTGCGTTCGCATGCCTCCCCACCACCATTTCGGCACACCCCTCACACGCTTCGTGGCCCCATAGGGAGCTCCACCGAAGGCCCCAGTGGCAGGGTTCGCATGCCTCCCCACCACCCATTTCGGCACACCCCTCACACGTTTCGTGGCCCCATAGGGAGCTCCACCGAAGGCCCCACAGGGTTTCGTCGGCCACCATAGGGAGCTCCACCGAAGGCCCCAGTGGCCAGTTCGGCACACGTTCGTGGCCTGCCCCCACCACACCATTTCGGCACACCCCTCACACGTTTCGTGGCCCCATAGGGAGCTCCACCGAAGGCCCCAGTGGCAGGGTTCGCATGCCTCCCCACCACCCATTTCGGCACACCCCTCACACGTTTCGTGGCCCCATAGGGAGCTCCACCGAAGGCCCCAGTGGCAGGGTTCGCATGCCTCCCCACCACCCATTTCGGCACACCCCTCACACGCTTCGTGGCCCCATAGGGAGCTCCACCGAAGGCCCCAGTGGCAGGGTTCGCATGCCTCCCCACCACCCATTTCGGCACACCCCTCACACGTTTCGTGGCCCCATAGGGAGCTCCACCGAGGCCCCAGTGGCCGCAATTTCGGCACACCCCTCACACGTTTCGTGGCCCCATAGGGAGCTCCACCGAAGGCCCCAGTGGCAGGGTTCGCCTCCCCACCACCCATTTCGGCACACCCCTCACACGTTTCGTGGCCCCATAGGGAGCTCCACCGAAGGCCCCAGTGGCAGGGTTCGCATGCCTCCCCGCCACCCATGTCGGCACACCCCTCACACGTTTCGTGGCCCCATAGGGAGCTCCACCGAAGGCCCCAGTGGCAGGGTTCGCGTGCCTCCCCACCACCCATTCGGCACACCCCTCACACGTTTCGTGGCCCCATAGGGAGCTCCACCGAAGGCCCCAGTGGCAGGGTTCGCATGCCTCCCCACCACCCATTTCGGCACACCCCTCACACGTTTCGTGGCCCCATAGGGAGCTCCACCGAAGGCCCCAGTGGCAGGGTTCGCATGCCTCCCCACCACCCATGTCGGCACACCCCTCACACGTTTCGTGGCCCCATAGGGAGCTCCACCGAAGGCCCCAGTGGCAGGGTTCGCATGCCTCCCCACCACCCATTTCGGCACACCCCTCTCACGTTTCGTGGCCCCATAGGGAGCTCCACCGAAGGCCCCAATGGCAGGGTCCGCATGCCTCCCCACCACCCATTTCGGCACACCCTTCACACGTTTCGTGGCCCCATAGGGAGCTCCACCGAAGGCCCCAGTGGCGCGGTGCCTATGAGAAGAGGGGCCTAGTTTGCGTGCCCCCTCCTTCGTCTCATATCCGTGCGGTACTCGCAGCTGCATGTGGTTGGGTCCTTCGCCAGGCTAATTCAAGCTTGAGTACGGCGGGAGTCTCAGGCGGGAGCTTCATTTGTGAGTGAATTGCGAGGAAGTCTCAGGCGCCCCCCCTCCCTACTGGGCCCGCAGCTAATGTTAGCAATACAAGCGGACCGTCGGAATCCTGTAACTGTTGTCACTTTTTGGTTTTGTCAAGCTTGAGTATGGCGGAAGTCTCAGGCGGGAGCTTCGTTTGCGAATGAATTGCGAGGACGTCTCATGCGGCCCCCCTTCCATATGGGGCCTGCAGCTCATGTTATTAGTCCGAGCGGGTCATCGGAATCCTTAAATGTCTTCACTTGTGGGCTCCTGAGGCGTGAGTATGGCGGAAGTCTCAGGCGGGGTTGTCCCAACGGCTGCGCCATGCGGCCATTAGAGAATGCGCCCGTGCTGGCCGAGGCGGCGGCGGCGCCGAGGAACACCGACGCGCGCGCTCCTTCCAGGAGGATGGAGAGGTGCACAAGGAGAACAAGCGGGGCGGATATGAGGAGGGGGAGAACGAGGGGAGGTGAAGGAGGAAAAAGAAGAAAAGGGCGAAGAGGAGGAAGAAGACGAGGAGGACGGGGAGGGAGAGGAGGCGGAGGGCGAGGAGGAAGAGGAGGATAGGGAGGATGCGTAAGAGCAGTACGATAATACATGCAACGGGTAGGACGATCATGAACAGGAGGAGGATACATATGAAAAAGAGGAGGAGGGCGGAAGGAAGGCCTCCGCCAGTCGAAAAACAAATGGGCGAGGGACACGCTATATCTCTCTCTGGCTCTATATATGTATATATATTATCATGTGGCGTCCTATCGTCGAAGTAATTCAAATCATTTTTTCGAGAGCCAGGAACCTTCTAACTTCTGGCACGCCGTGCACTGTTGTGGCAAACTGGCGGGGGGCGGCGGATGTAGTGGCACTCGGCGCAGCTCGCAGACGTGCCTGGGTTGTGGGTCGGAGGCCTCTGGGACGCCTGCGGGGATCTGCTGGGGCGCCTTTCGGACGCCTTTTGGATCTGGTTTTGGGGTGTTTGGGGGGCCTCTTGGGGGTCTTTTGGCGTGGGGGCCTCTTGGGTCCTGATTTGGGCCTCTCGGCCCTCCTGGAGTTTGTGGGGCCCTCTTGGAGGCCTGCTGGCGGTCTTGGGGGCCATCTTGGGGCGAAGGGCTCGAAATCTCGGTTCGTGCTCCCCCTCTGGGGCCTCTCTTGGGCCCCGCTGGGGGCCCTATTGGGCCGTCTTGGGGGCCACTTGGGCCGTCTTGGAGCATCGAAAGCCCGAACAGGCGAGAACGCTAAAATCCTTCAAACAGTTTTGTGGTTTAACGATTTCACTCTGGAACGTTAATGATTTTTGCATCCCTCTTGGAGGGCTTCTTGGAGCCCTCTGGGGGCATCTGGGGGGCCTCTGGGGACGTGTGTGGGCCATCTTGGGCGTCTTGGAGCGATCTTTGGGCGACTTGGGGCCATCTTGGATCGTCTTGGGTCTTGCGAGCCTCTTGGGGCCCGTTTGACCGGTCTTGGCGCCCTCGGGCCTCTTGAACAGTCACGCGACCGACACCAGGAGCGCCCGGGAGCGCCCAGGAGACTCGGGCATCATGGCTGTGGGCCCGTGGCGGATAAGACGAAGACGATTTTTTTTCATCGTCATGGGATAACCAGACACTGGAATATGTTACTCGCGATGTCGCGCTCTTGCTGGTTCTTCACCAGTCCTGTTCAATGTTCATCTCTTCGCGGGCGACCTTAGGCTGTTCCAGCCTTCGCACTGATCTTTCATGCCAACTCTCGTGGGCGTTTTAAGCCCATAGAGCCTCTCGGGATCTGCATGCCCCCGGTTGTATCTGGTGATCTTTCGAACCGTACCGAATCTTCTCTCTCTTCTCTTCCTCTTCTTCCTCCTCCTCTCCGCCCTCTTCGCTCCCCCCCCTTTCTTCTTCCTCCTCTGCCGCTTTCTCCCCCCTCTCTTCTTCCTTCTCCTCTCCTTTCTCTCTCGTCCTCCCCTCCCCTCCAGCAAGGAGCGTCGTGAAGGAGTACAGCAAGGGCGGAAGCTTCGGGGAGCTGGCCCTTCTGTACCTGGCACGCGGCAGTCATCAAACCTGCCGCTGCCCTACTCAGTCCCCTTTGTTTTCTTTTCCCTCGCCTCCTCGACTCACCGGAGTAAGGGCAGGAGGAGGACCAGAGTAAACCCAAGATACATCAGCGAAGCGACGCTGCAATACACCCTCCTGATGATGATGGTGATGATGATGGTGGTGGTGATGATGATACTGATGCTGCTGCTGATGATGATGATGATGCTGATGACGACGATGATGATGATGCTGCTGAGGATGGTGGTGGTGGTGATGATGATGGTGATGGTGATGTGACTGTGATGGTGATGGTGATGGTGATGGCGATGATGCTGATGCCGATGATGGTTGTGATGCTGTTGATGGTGATGGTGATGGTGATGGTGATGATGCTGATGCCGATGATGGTTGTGATGCTGTTGATGGTGATGGTGATGGTGTTGTTGTTGATGGTGATGGTGTGCTGTTGGTGATGGTGTTGGTGGTGATGATGCTGATGAGAATGAGGACGATGAGGCGAGCACGTGGAGCAGGGGCGCAGGACCTCCCAGGTCTCCCCGTTTTCCCCGCGCCCCGAGGTGCCGCGCGCGGCGACCGTGACGGCCAAGGAGGACTCCGTGGCCTCCTCAGCAGTGGCTGCTGCAGCGGCAGCAGGGCGAGGTGACTACGATGATGAAGGTGACGACGGCGATCAGCACAGTCCAACGATCCCCATCCCCATTTGGCCATGGTGTCTCAGCCCTATCAGGTCGCCCGCCCAGGTGGCAGTTTGGGCCGAGGTCATGCGAGTGTGGATGGGGATCTGTTCAACGATGCTCAGAGAGGACAACGGCGATACCGATGGTAGCGACGGCGACGCTGCTGGTGACGGTGACGATGACGACGGCGTCGAGCAGTACCTTGCAGCAGGCCGAAGCCCAAGACATTATTGATCGAGTTTAGTTTGAATTGGACTGGTCGCATTCGCGCGCGCTGTTACTCGATGCCGTGCTGAGCTAAGTCCATCCGATCTCGTGTGACCTTTTCAGGGCCTCCCATGCCTGGTAACTCTTTGGCCCCGCGCAACTCCTGGGTGCGATCCAAGCGGTCGCGAAGTTCTGCTTCTCGGGTTGTTGGTTGTATGCTGGTGGTGTGTGTTTTGTCTGCGTCCTCTATCTGAGGCATGCTGTGCACGTGTGTGACTGGGTCTCGATCTCGCGATTGGGATAGCCCCGATGAGGGGCAGCGTGATTCTTGTGTGTTTGGGTGTGTTAGCTTATAAAACAGCCTATCCGATGACATGTGCAGCATGCTATATATCACGCATGTCTGGCGCGAGCTCGTGGTGCCCGGGGAGATGGCGGACGCGGTGCAAGCGTTGTGCCACGTCGCGCCAGAGGAATTGTGCTCTGTTGTGAGAGAAGCGCCAAGCGGTCGTTCCCAGCAGCCCCCCGGAACGCGCGGCCCATCTTGGGCCCGAGATGGCGGGGATCATGACAGGACAGGAATTCCTCAGGGCGCGAGTTCCTTGCGTGGCATCGCAGCGCGTACAGGTATGCCTCTCCCAGAGCTCCCGTGGGGGCAAGTGGTTTGGGACCTCGGGGTGGGACCTTGGCCCCCGGCGGAGTCGGTGCTGGGGGCATTCGCTTCCGCCGCGCAAGACGGGGTCCGTCCGACGACTCCACTGCGCGCAGGCCCGCGCGCGCCGCTCGGGCTGCTCCACGTGCCGCTGGGGTGCCTGGAGGTCACGTCGTGGCGCGCGAGCATTCCTACGGCGTCCTGGGGGCTTGTGAGGCCGTCCTGAGGGTATCTTGGGTTGCCTTCGAGCGGCCTTGGGCTCTTTCAGGGCCCTCCTGGAGCAAGCTGCGGCACAAGTGAGCTCGAGACGTGTCAGAGGCAAGACATCGACGGGGAAGCTTCTCCCAGGGAGGGGTGCTCCCCCAGGGGTGTTGCATCCCCGGGAATTCCCCTGGGACTTCTCTCGGGAATCCCCCCGGCGGGGGAGGGATCAACGGGAAGGGGTTTCCTTTCGACTCGACTGCGACGTTGTTTGATTCCCCTCTGCTGAAACGTTTGACGAGGAGGGCCCAGAGACGGAGAGAGCGACGACGACGTCGACGACTCAAACAGACAAGCGTCAAGGGAGGGGGGAAGGCGACGACGACGACCCATACGGAAAAGATCTTCACGTACGCCGACGGGGTCGGCGGGTTTCGAGAGCCGAGCGGTTTCCTTTCTCCCTCGCCCTCAGGGGGCTGGCGGAAGCCCCACCTGCTGTCGACGCCTTCCCCCTTCGTGCTTCTGCCCACGTCCTCCCGCTGGTGGGAGCGTCCACCTGGTGCGTGCGCCGGGTGCGGGGGGCGGCGAGTGGGATCCCGCAGTGCCCCGGGAGGCCAGCGCTGCCGGCGGCGCCTGGGAGGGCGTGGGGGTCCTTCCGTGGGCACGGGCCGGCGCCCTCCGCTCCCCTTGCTGCCCGAAGAAGGCGGAGCCTGCAAGGGCGCCCCACGCGGCGCTGCAGCAGCGGTGGGGGCAGGGCGGGCCTGGAGGACGGTGGCCGCACGCGTGTCAGGAGGGGAAAAACACACAGACACAATTAATCGTCGATCCCCAAGAAAATCTACGAAAATATGGGAATTGGGCGGGAAGACAAAAACCTGGAAAATATGTGAAAATATAGTACATATTTTTATCTGTGTGTATTTATTTGTGTGTTCTGGGGCCCCTTCAGCGTATGCGCGCAGATGTGCGCAGCCAGTGTCTTTGACGGCGCGCGCGAGCAGATCAGTCACAGCATGCAGACGCGTGTGCGTGCAGTCGGTGCCTTGGACGGCAGGTGCGTGCAAAGCGGGTGGACATGCGCCAGTCGCGCGGACGGTGAATCGAAGCATTCGTTTTCTCTGCGCAGGTCTTCTGCATCAAGAGGCCGCAGTTGTTGACCATGCGCATGAGCAGTCGGTGTTGATGATGGGGAGGAGGAGGAGGAGGAGGAGGAGGAGGAGGAGGAGGAGGAGGAGGAGGAGGAGCAGGAGGAGGAGGAGGAGGAGGAGGAGGAGGACGAGGACGAGGAGGAGGAGGAGGAGGAGGAGGAGGAGGAGGAGGAGGAGGAGAGGCAGGATGTCTCGTGCAAACCGTGATCTGTGACTCTGCTAAGTCGGTCTGGGTGATCGACAGAACGAATTTCAAGAAGGAGCTGATGAAAGTGTCGAACAACAAGATAGCGGACATCCTTCGCCTTCTTTCTGCACCAGCTCTCTTCGTCGAGTCAGCTGCTATGGCGCTTTAATCTGAATGCCGTATGTTCTGAAGGGTTCCTGTTTGCATAGGGTGTTGGTGCGTTGGTTGGGAGCTCGGCACTGACTGCTAGCTGGGGGGTGTTTTTTTCCCTTGAGCTTGATCAGTCTTAACCGTAGCCTCAGCCATGGCCTTGACCTAGGCATTCGCCACTCCTTCTCTTTCTCCTGAATCTAAGCCTCATGTGCTGGTGCAGGCGCCGCCTAAGGCTCAGGCCCAGGCTCCTCCTCCCTCCTTCCTCCCCACCTCTGTCGCCATTCCTACCTCCTCCCCAAGTAATCTCTCCTCCGTCCTCTCTCCTTCGACTTCCGTGCTCTCTCCTCCATCTCCCTTCTCGCTCCTGTTTCACCGCTCCTTGCTCCTCGTTCCCTCCTCGCTCCCTCCCATTTCCTCCCCGTCCTTGCTTCTTCCTCCAGCCCTCCTCCTTCTCTTCCCTCTGCTTCTTGCCGCGTCGCCCGTCGCTCTTTCCCCATATCTCCTCGCTCCTTGCTCCTGACGGCGACGATGAGTGCTGGCGACGACGATGGCAGCAGTGGGGCTGGCTGGGACCTCGCCCACCCCATGGGCGACCCCGGACCCGCTGCTTCCAGGAGTACATGAAGTATTTAGACCACGTCGAGGTGCTCCACTCCCTGCTCACCGAGGAGAAGGAGGCGGTCGCCAAGGCGAGCCCGTCTCCCCGCCCGCCTCTCGCCAGCGCCGTGTCCTGGCGAGGGGGAGACCGTGTCCTGGCAGGTGGGGATATCTCCCCCTCCCCGCCCGCGCTCCCGCGCTCCCGCGCCTCCCGCGCCTCCCCGCGTTCCCGCGCCTCCCCGCGTTCCTCGTCTCGCTCCTGCGCCTTCCTCGCCTGCCGCTCCCGCCCTCCCGCTCTCGCCCTGCCCCCGCCGTGCTCCGGCCCCCTCCCCTCTCCGCGCCCGATGCTCCTGACTGCCTCGCCCCGCCTCCCCGCCTCCCCGCCGCCTCGCCGGCCGCGCCCCCCCCCTCCCCGCCCTCCCCCCTTGCCCTGCGCGTGCGCCACGGCCCCACCCTCGCATCACCCTGCTTCCCCCTCTCTCTCCCCTTCCCCTTGTCCTCCCCACACCCTCTTTCCTGGGCGGTCGCGCTGCACGAGCAGCGGGCTGCGATTATTGGGAAGGCCTCGCAGCCGGGGCCGCTGACTTTGAAGGTGGACGGCGGCGACGACGGCGGCGGTGGTATTCCTGGGGCTCTCCTGGGAGCCTGCTGGGCTCTGTTGGGGCTTGGGCTGGGGCGAGAGCTGGGGCCGTGGCCACTGGCTTTGCTTCTGGATGCTCGTGGCCACCTGTCTGCGCAGGGACTTCAAGCCAGCGACGACACGGTTGCGTACTTGTGCGCTGCCGTTGAACACTTCCGTGGTGGTCGGCTTATGTGGCGTTTGCACCAGACGTTGGACCTTTCCCAGTGGACTTGGCCCTCTACGACGCGCTAATTTGTCGGCTCACTGCTACTGCCAGCTGGCTGATACGTGCTCTGCGTGCCTCCTGGCAGCGAGCCTTCCTTCGGCGCGCTTCCAAGACCCGCGACGAGTTTGGGTCGCTGTCGGATGTGCGGCGCTGGCTGGGCGTCCGCGCCGCCACTTGACTCGCCCGCGAAAGCGGGTTGGCTTCCAAACTCACCCTGTGGACCCGCTCACTGCCCCGCAGTCACCTCGCTCGCTGGCGGCGTCCGCGTCCAGCAGAGGGCAGCTGGAGACCACGCCTCAGCCGCCCCCGCCCTCCTTGTGCCGCTGCTGCGACGAGGCAGAGGAGGTCAAGTTGGCCGCGGACCCTCCGCAGCCGCTCCCTCGTCCTCCAAGCGGGGAGGAAGCCAGCCCCAGCGCGCGCGGACCAGTTCTTGGCGAGCGCACCTGCCACGTACGGGGGTGGCCGCCCACCCGCTCCTGGCACGAGCTTCTGCTGCCGAGTGCCGTGGCACGGCTCGCCAGCTCACCTGCACGGCCTCTGTCCGCGCCGCTGCTCCGAACGCTCAGCGGACGGAGACGGTGCCGCCGCCTTGGGCTGAATGCGAGGAGAAATACGTTCTCCTCCATCGTGTCCGACTGCATCGTGCACCATGTACCAGTGCCTTCATTGTTGTCTTGTCGTCGATGGCGCAACACGGAACACGCCGAGC